CTCTCTCCCCCCCCCCCCCCCCCCCCCCCTTTTCCCCCCCCCCCTTCTCCCCCCCCCCCCCCCCCCCCGTGTTTGTGTGTACTGCACGACTGACGAAGTGGATTAGCAGCAGAGTAATCTGCAAGTGTGTCGGGTTACACTGCTGCACCCAGGATGGTCGCTGACCTCTCATCCCTCCCAGTCAGTGAGATTACAGGCGTTCTGGTGAAATGTCTGTTTATTACAGAGCTTAGTTGTTTTTAATAGAAAGTACTTGTCCAATAAAACCTGATTTAAAATTCAAAGAAGTGGTTGAGGATTCACTGATCCACTTTTTTCACTGCTGATACCGATATCTGAGATTTAGCATCAGATGTTTGTCCCGATACAGAAAAACAGTGCTGCATTGAGTTAAAAAGTTTCTTTAAAAAAACAACAACACACAGACATAAATGTACTGAATTACAAATTAATGCGATGACTCTGCAACAGTACAGAACACTTAAATACACAAATAGCTTCACAAGTTTGGTCATATGTAATAACAACGTTAATTTGTTCAGCCAGCGCATTTAGGAATATATCAGCCAATGTAAATCAATCAGAAACTAACAAAAACAATAGGATGACTACCTTGGTCAAAAATAAACCGTCTTACAAATGGTTCAGAAAGTGCAATTAGGAATTCTAAATTTAATGTGAAATAAATAATAAAGCATGACGTCCCACAGAGCACAAATCATAGAATTAAACTGAATAGATCTGCCCTTATGGATCCGGCACATTGTCATAGATACCCAGTCTATGATTTTTGTCAATAACGAGCTGGATACAGATACTTATATTGAATCAGTGCATCTATAGAGTCGGTAAGTTTTTTGTTTTGTTTTTTTTTTTTACCAAAAATTGACAAAAAACAATAAGCTGACTGTTTCAGTTTCTCTATTATTTTTCATTCGCTGTTTTACTCCTAATTGCACTGATTGAACAAATTAAAGTTGTTTTTACATGTTTGACCAAACTTGTGAAGCCATTGGTGTATTTAAGTGCTGCGCTGGTGCAGAGTTATCAGATAAATGTGTAAATCAGTACATTTATCTCTGTTTAAAAAACAAAAAACAAAAGAAAGACTTAAAGTATATTTGTTAAGTCAACTCAACACTGTTTTGCTGCATCAGATCGGTATCAGCTCATACCAAACCTCAGGTATCGGTATCGAAAGGGAAAAAAGTGGATCGGTACATTCCTAAAACTTGGTTGTACCTTTTTGCTGACGTAACTAGAGCTTCTTGATGCTCTCCAAAAAACACTTTGGACCGTATTAAACAAGCTTCAACAAACATATATCCTCCTATATCAGCCAGTCTTAAAATTAACGGGTGATATTTATTGCGGTTCAAGCTGTTCTTTGCAGTATTGGTCTTGGATACGATGATGTTGAGATGTTACCCCCTTCCTGCTCTCCTTATCTGAATTCCTGTTTTCCCTCTGCAGTGAGTTCTCCAGTGGAGCTGCTGATCAGTCAGACTCTCTGCTGGGTTCACGATGACCTGGATCAGGTGGACTTCTCCAGCCATTTGCTCAAAGTGTGCGGTCGGGAGGAAGTGCTGCAAAAGTGAGTGTTTCCGAAACCGTAACACGTCCGGCAGCCCAAGAAAGCTCTCCCCTCCCATGGAGATTTATGGAACTTTTATTTGTTTTTCTTATGTCCTCCTCTCTCTTTTTTCCATCTTTCTCTTACTGTGTCGCTCTTATCTCTGGATCCCCCCACGTCCTACACAAATAGGAATGGTGGATGTTTTTATATTTCTTCTTTTAACCTCCTCCAACGCTTATAATCTGAGATTCATGGGAGCTGCTGCTCTCCTTAGCAGCACTTACAGACCACAGTCCACTGAACTGTGTTCCTAGTCGAATGCTACAAACATTACGTTAATACTATTGGCAACAATTACCACAAAACCTTAAAAAAGACTTACAAATAAGACGTTTCAAGTTTCTTCAGCCATTTTCAGCTATTTAATTATCATTATTTAAATGACAGTCATTGTAACACCAACCCTCTCAACACTGTTTTGGTCTTTGCACTTTATATAGACATCTGAGTAAATAATGTAGTGAGTAGGAGTGCAGTCTAGCTCATGAGATGAGGTGGTATGCGATGTTCGGTTCATGCAGATGAGACAAGAGGAGAATTTTACTATATTTGTTGGTAAAGCATGGATTCCATTTTATGGTTGTCACTAATAGAGTTGAGATTTTTTTATAGGAATTTGTTTTTAGTGTATAACGGTGAAACTCAAACTGTTTCCAACACTTATCTCCTCAGTACTGTCTTGACTGACGTTTTAAAACCATAGTAAAACAGAACCTTGGACTTTGTCAGGTGGTTGTTGTCATTAAAAACCAATATAAAAAAATCCTTTCTATTGGAAATGCAACTTGGGTTTATGGATAGGGTCCATGTTTCCTCTGAAGTTGAACATTTTCAAATGGGGAAATATTAAGCAAAAGCTCCCTAGAAGTTAACATTCAAAGTAGGAAAGTTTGAGGTTTCTCACCTCCAAATCCAAAATGTCCGTCTTGCATGTAAAGCTTAGTCTGGTGACCTGCATCTTATGTTTCTGACGCAAACACGCAGTACTGTACAGTCTCTTTTTGATGTACGTGTTTGAAAGTGCAAAGTGAAAAGTAACCAGAAACGTAGTTAATCTAAGCTTTTTAGTTAAAGCAGTTAGTCTGGTCACGGATCAAATCAACCAGCAAATCCATCTGGTTTTCAAACTGGGAACAGGAAAACACTTGAAGTTACATTTAATGTGGTTTCTGGATCAGAATTCCTGATTTCTTTTACATCACACAAGTCACGTGATTAACAACCGGATGTTACTACTGGCAGAAATGGTGAAGAAGACAAGAAGCTGTTGGAGGAAGTCACATTTTTCAGTGACTTGTCACGTGAACAAACTTATTCACATGTGATTTTAATTACATTTCTTACTAATGGAAACACCGCAATTGTGAAATTGTTTTTGTTTGTTTGTTTGTTTTACATTAGTGGAACTTTGTCAGTTTTCTACACATTTGTGATGGAAACCCAACAGGGCTACTTGGAGTGTACTCAGGACATACTTCATTTCTTAACTTTTTGAAAGTGAAGTTCAAAGGGAAACTAGACTCTGGTTCAGATAATTTTTTCCCCTTGAAGGTGTAATGTAATTCATGTCCATAACAGTAAAATCTAATATTGAAGCTTTTCTACAGTCTAATCAAACGACATCACAGTGGAGACGAGCCAAGCTAACGCAGCTGACTCTGTTGTTCCTCTTGTTAGTCACCCATATTGTTTCGGTCCATATTGTTACTTTCGATCTGTAGGACTGTGATGTCTCTAACTCTGGGTCTCTGCCGCCCTGTGCCACAGTAAACACAGCCTGGGTAGCCATGAGTACATCCAGAACTGCCGGAAGTGGGAGAACGAGATCACCTTACAGCTGCTCTCTCACTCAACCATGAGGAGGGACCTGGCGCGAAGCGTAAGTTACTCTTCACAAGTTAAATAAGGAGGTTACAAACTCGTCCCACTGATAAACTACCAGTATACATTCTGGTGAGATTGCAACCCTAATTATCTGTGATTTAATACTTATTTTTTCTCACTGCAGGCAGAAGATGACGGTTCTCAACTCAACCTTGACAAACATCTCAGCCATGTTGATAGGCCTTTTAGGGAGAACGTCACCCGGTAAGAGTCAATCGTTGGTCGGGAAGTAAATGTGTAAAGCTGGTTAAAGTTAATCACCTCTGTCTCTTTACAGACAAGGTCTTGCTGACTATTTGGAGGGATACCACAATCAGGTCAACATCTGCTTAGAAAATGAGGTACATGTCGTCCCTGTTTGAGTCTGAAGGGAGAGGCGGGAAATCCAAACATGTTTTGTCCCACAAAACATTATGAAACAAAACAGCAGGATTTTTCTTACTTATTGAATTCAGATCTAAAGTACTTTTATATATGCCAAAGGGAAACTAAATATTGTTGGCAACTAAGATCGTCCTGGTGAAAGCTGAGCAGAGTAGGGGGCATCATTGGTAATTTGATCTTCCTCCTTTGCTCTCTGCTCTTTGAGTTCTGTTTTGTTAGTTTAGATATTATTTTAGCTAATCAGCTTCTCCCAGTTGTAAAAACATCACCTTTTTGCCATGGTTACACATTATAACTGTCTAAAATAAAAAAAAGAGCAAAAATCCTTCTAGTTGCACAGCATCTAAAACCAGAGAGAAAAATGGAAAACCATAAATATTAATTTTTAGAACTTTATATTGTATAAAAACACCAGGAAAGGAAGAAGTGAAGTGGTTAGAAGATATATTTTTTAAAATGAACCAGAATAAATGCTGTTGTTTTTTTTTCTCCAAACTTGCTTACTTTAAAGCTCCTTTTGAATCAGAACATGAAACAAATTCAGACCATTGTTTTTTTTTTGTTTTTTTTTTTGCTCCATCTTTGGTGCCCAGAGCACCCAGTACAAGACCGTGGAGCGGGTGGTGCAAACCGTGAAGAACCTGTGCTGCGCCCTGGACGAGGTGGAGACGCAGTCCGTCACAGAAGCCATCAAGAGACTCCGCCACTCTGTCAATCTAGCCAGGACGCGCTCGCCCAAGGTGCGCTCCCTGTCGGCGCATGCGCCAACACATTTGGTGGTTGGTTGGTGTTGAGATGAGATCATGTCATTTTCTAAGACCAGCATGCATTGCTTTCTAGTTGGGGTCAACATCACCTGGTCAGTCATCAACTAGTAAGTTATATGCATACATACAGTCACACATAACCTTCATCTGCCTATCAGTCACAATCGTTCGCTCCAGTAAAAATGAACATTCTTAGCCTTGCACAAACAAAATCATACTTTTTGAGCCTTATTTTTTTTGTCACATTATTTCATCATGTTTTCACATATTTAAAATCTTTAATCTCATGCTTTGATTTATTAAAACTCCTCAACACTAAATAATCAGCCCAAGATAAAAAAGAAAAGACTAAATACTTTTGCAAGGCCTATCATCTTTTACGTTTTTATCCACGTGATTAAATTCTCGCGCTGACGCGACCCCTGCCCCCGTCAACAGGTGGCTCCAGTCCTGTGGAGGAGAGCATAGCCTTACTAACGAAGGCCGTCTATGACCTGGTCAAGCTCTACCTGCGCTCCTTCTGCCCGCCGTCGCCGTCCTTCAGCTTGTCCGCCTCGGCCCAGTCTGCGGACAGTGGTGGAGCCGGAGAGGGGAGGGGCAGCAAAGAAGCTTCTGGCACCACAGACCACCTTCAGTTTACTCTGTTCGCGCTGCATGGCATCCCAGGCCACTGGGTCAGCAGGTAAAACGCACAGCAGCAACACTGAACAGGATCAATGCAAACATAAATGCTGAAACTCAGAAAAACTGTGAATAAAACAGAAAAGGTCCTGCCACCAGTTTGGCAGTATTTCAGATATCTAAAACAAAAAATTTAATCGATAATCATTAATGCAACGCTTATAACATGATTTATTTTTTAATCATATCGTTCAGCCCTGCCACAAAGGAAGAAATGAGTAGCAAATGACAGAAGACTCTGTGTAATATTTAGGTTTGTGAATGATTTAGTGGTGAGCATTTGGTAAAAAGCTCCATGTTTTGTTGCAGCGATCCTATAAAATTACAGCCTGTTCTGTTGAACTGTGCCTTCACAGCAGCATACCTGGATCTCTTTTACTCAACAAACAGATCTGGTGTTGATCCTTGTGTCTTATTTTCCATGCTAGTGTCTCGTTTCACACAAGACCTGAGCTGTTGTCTCGTGTGTGTGTGTGTGTGTGTGTGTGTGTGTGTGTGTGTGTGTGTGTGTGTGTGTAGCAGATCTGATCCAAATTTTCCATTCACAGCTCTGTTTCACAGCAGTGACTGGGATCAGTGACAAGGATCCTGGTTTGGTAAAAAAAAAAAAACAATAAAAAAAATACAATTTCTTCCCCTTTATTTGTAAAAAGCTCAGTTGAGACTTCTTAGACAACTTAATATTAAATAACAGGAATTGTTGGAGCAGTAACTATTTTGATGGAATCACTTTAAAGAAATAGCACAGTTTTGTTTTTGTTTTAACTTTCATTTTCTTCTGCTGTCATTTTCTCCTTAGTGTTCAGTTGTTTTCTATAAAAGACAAGTCGCTACAACTCCAGCGCGCAGCAGCCTCTTACAACAACTACTTTAAGGCAGGAAGCAAATATGGCTGCAGTGACAGCCATTCCAAAAATGGTCTTTTCAAGCCGGAGCGGGACACCAACTCTCTCCTCTCCCCGCGCGGCCAAGCAGCAGCAGCAGCTCGGATCTGTTGTGGCGCTACTCTAACGGCGCCTTACTGAGGTTGAAGTGTTTAGCATTGTTGTGGCTTGTGTGTCATCCATCTGTTCACCGCGCCACATTACCAGCTTGTGAGTAGCGAGGGAGCTGCCAGCGCAGATGGCACGGAGCAGCGGAGCAAGCTGATTGCGGCGTAAACGTGCATCTGATTTCCTCCCGCGTTTTTTTTTTTCTCTCCCCTCCACGGTCGCATGTGGGGGATCTGTCACTAATTAAAGCGAGTTTATTTTTGGACCCGTGGAAACCAGAACTCTTCATACTGGATGTTATTGCCTCGCATCTGGAAATATTAATATGTTCTGTTAGTTAAGAGTGCAGAGTTGAAGTTACAGTACAGGCTGTTGAATTTGAAGTGTATACAGATAGAAGCACTTACTGCCTGTTTATCCTCTTGGGATTAATCAGGCCACATCTCACACAGCTGCGGCCGTGACTGGTGCCGGGAAACACTTCACAGCGGACGATTATTCAAGCCGATCCTAATAAATAAAGATTATGATTAGAGGTGCTAGGCCTGTCGTATAAGGCAATAAATCAATTAATTGTTTGATAAATTAAAATGAGTGTGATAATTTCCATTTGCATTCTCGAGTCTGTCTTTACTAGAGACTGTGAGACAAAAGGCTTCAGTCTGGTTCATCGATCTAAACTAGAAGAGGTCATTTATCGTATCGTTTATCCTTTATCGTGATAACTTTCTTATTGTGATGGTAATTTTGATTTAGAAAAACAGCAGATAAAGGGGTTCTTCAAGAGGAAGTCAAAGCAATTTTTATCCCTCTGGTTTCTGAGAAACTGTCCAAATGTTAAGAAGAGCAGTATCTCCCCAGAATCAATTTCTTTCAAAAAACCAGCATGTTGTTGTTCAACTCGTAATCTGAATCCTCTTTCTTCAAATGCGCCATCATCCCAAATGGTGTAGAGAATCAACATATTCAGCCACAGGGGAGTTTTGCCGGTTAAAATTAGCCTGGTTAAACCACTCTGGTCTAAGTGGGCAGGTACAATATCTCTCCAAGTTCCCTTTGAGCAGTACACTGCGTCAAAAGGTTTCTAAGCTTCACTTTGAAAATGTCGCCCTGAAGGAGTTCTTTCTAGGCCTCTTTTTTCCCAGCAATCTGCCCACAGCTGCTGTCATCAGTGAGACAAAACATCTTTCTATCAAAACCTTTTAGTTGATTCAACCGCTTCTACATGGTGGTTAGTCATAGATGGAATATTTCACACCAGCATCGTTTGTTGTCTCGTTCCAGCTATGAGAAGTACTTCCTGATTTGCTCCCTCACCCACAATGGGAAGAACCTGTTCAAGCCGGTCCATTCCAAGAGAGTGGGCACATATAAAAGCTTTTTCTACCACGTAAAATGGGACGAACTGTAAGTCCTCGCTCGTATTCTTCAGTTTTCACTGACCTACTGCGGCCCTTTTACCTTTTAATGACGCCGCCTTGTCCTTCCTAGGATCATTTTCCCCATCGCCGTAGCCGTGCTCCCTTTGGAGTCCACGCTGAGTCTGAGTCTATTTGGGGTCCTGAACCAGAACGCCAGCGGCTCGCCAGATTCCAACAAACAGCGGAAAGCCCCAGAGTTTTTAGGCAAAGTCTCTATGCCCCTGTTTGACTTCAGACGGTGAGGAGAAGGAATGATCTCATTCGCTTTAAGGGGTTTAAATAGAGAATTTATCTTTTCACCACTGAGATTAAATTATCTTTGGGGTTTTTTATTAGCTTATGTTAACTTCTGTGTTAAACAGAGTTCTTGCACGAGACACGAGGTTCTTGTGTCTGTGGACGTCTGCTCAAGGAGCTGCTGGCGCTGCTGGTGCTACCGGCAGCCGCAAGAAGGTTCCTGCAGAAAGGATCATATTACAGGTCAGTTTGATGGGACTATCAGATACAGGCATGTGGGGGAATTATTACAGCCTGAGTGTTTTTTTTATATATTGTTAATGTTTTATATCAGTTTAAACACTTCTGAGACGCTCAAGTAATGTAGGTAAACAAAGACAATACTTAAAAAAAAAATGTCAGTAAAATATAGTTTCTGGTAAGGAATAAATTCAGACAGATTCATATTTATTTCCAGTTTAAATGGCTAGAATTACACACAGGCCTATCACAGTGATGAAACATTTGCTCTTCAAGTTTACCAGAGAAAATATAGACAAACTCCTGAACTTCTGGAAGTACGTTGTTGAACAGATTAATCTAAAGTTCTAAAGGTCTTAAATTTAGTCCATAATGGTCTTAAAAAGTCTTAAATTTGAGTTGGTGGAGTCTTTAGAGAGCCTGAGTTTGGCATAAATAAAATACAGTGACCAATTAAAAACCACCTCATACCAAATGTGATGCATGGGGGTAGAAATGTCATCCACAGTGACGTTTATCAGAAGATGTTTTAGAGAAATGTGGGCCAATTTGTAAAAATGAGAGCTGAATCAGAATTGGACCTTGAAACATGACAATAATTCAAAACCAGTAGATCCAGCGAGGATCTTTTTGTTTTTATATTATTCAATTGGTTTCCACTGAGAGCATAAACTGATCCCAGTACTGGTCTTGTCTCTTCCATCAGGTGGACTTCCCCAAATCAGGGGTGGATGTTTTATATGTTGGACCTAAGGAGGCCCCGAGCCCCGAGCCCCACACACTGGAAGAGCTGGACCCGGACCTGAAGCGGAAGCTGGAGAAAATCTGCAGCCGAGCCTCAAATTTTGGGTAAAAGAATCTGTTTTTTTTTTTCTATGTGAAAATGGAAAAGAACAGTTTCAGCAAATTTGTGTACCAGCGCCCTCTTCAAGAGTTTATAAGCAAAGCTGATCTGCCTGAATAACGTCACATAAAATCACTGATGTTATTGCGTTGGGATGTTGTGAACATGTGAGGCCTAAAGATACTATTAAAGGGGCAGTATCATTTAAAATCAAGGTTTTTCTTAGCTTTATGTCATGTTATAATGTTATTCCCTCATCTAAAACATGCCTCCAGTGTTGCCTTGACTCTTTCATGTGTGTTTGGGAAATCCTTTAA